ATAAAAAAAAACAATACATTAACAAGAAAAAAAAAACATTAACATTTGACACAAAATTAACAAAAAAGACCTCCCTAAAAATAAATAATAAATAAAAATAAACTATACCAATCTTCGACCTCCACTACACCAAAAGAAGACGCAATAATCCGACAAGAAAAGTCAAATAAAAAATACAACTCCCCCCCCCACCAAAAAAAAAAAAAATACAAAAAAAAAAAATCTTCCTTTTAGGCCGCGTAGGCAGGTAACTCGAGCTCCACATCTGCCCCCTGGGTAGGCCTATAAAGAGCCGCTACAGGCCTCCTAAGTGCATCTAAGACAAAGACAAGGGAAGGATTGTGTTTCCGTTTTATGCATGTTCACTTATGAGGACGACAGAGTGGAGAGAGGGAGAGGGAGAGAGGAGGGAGGGAGGGAGGAGGAAGAGAGGGAGGGAGGGGGAAGAGGAGGGAGGGAGAGGGAGGGAGGGGGAGAGAGAGAGGGAGAGGGAGAGGGAGGGAGAGAGGGAGGGAGGGAGAGATGAGAGAGAGAGAGAGAGAGAGAGAGAGAGAGAGAGAGAGAGAGAGAGAGAGAGAGAGGAGAGAGGAGAGAGAGGAGAGAGAGAGAGAGAGAGAGCGAGAGAGGAGAGAGAGGGAGAGGGAGAGGGAGGAGGGAGAAGAGGGGAGAGGGAGAGAAGAGAGAGAGAAGAGAGATAAGAATCTCTATCTATCTACTAAGGTCATATATTCGTACAGACAGAAAGGAGAAAGAAAATAAAAGCGAAGAGCGGGAGCGAGGAAAGGGGCGAGCACGCGAGCCTGAGCCGGGCGCGCGGGCGTCGCACACAATGGCTCTCTTTCCCCGACTTCTGGGCCGGCATTCCCGAGGTCCCTGGGCATTCCTGGCTCGCTCCTCCGCGGCGCCGACGACAGGCTGAGCGATCGCGCGGCCGAGCGTCCAGCGCCCGAGCGTGGCGTGGCGCGGCGTGGCGCGGCGTGGCGTGGCAGCGGGGCATCAGCAGCTACTTTTCGGGCGAGTGTTTTTCCTCGGTGACAGTTACGGGCCTCGTTTCGCATTCTTCGCATTTGCTCAAGACGAGTCTGTCGCCGCCTTTGTCTTTGTGCGTGCGCGAGCGCGCGCGACTAAGCGTATCATTATGTGCGTGTTTACGTTTCCGCGGAATGCAAAGGGTGGCGCTGGGAATTCCTCTGCCTTGGACTCGCGCCCTCGTTCTCCTCAACGGCAGTTGCTGAACGGGGAAGGAGGATTAGATCGAAAAAGACACCTAATGTCTACCGCTAACAATTATTAGTCTACAAACATAATACTAAATAAAAGCAAAATCCCCGCCAGGCCAGTCCCCCGCCGCCGCCCCCTCCCGCCGCGTCCATTCACGGGCAACGAGGCTCTGAAAGCCCCGCCAAGCCGCCCTTCTTCGCCCGCGCCCTCCGCCTCCTCCAGCCACGCGTCCCAAGATGTTTGTCTGTTACGGAATCATAAACCAGAAGTGGCCTTAAACCGCCGAGACAAGCCCAACCGCCGAGAGCTCACTCGTGTGTTTTTCTCTTTCTTCTTTTTTTGGCTGGCAGTCCATTCTTGGTTCATAATTACATGCAGTTCCCAGGGGTCTCGCGGGTGAAGACATTTTCCTAGCTGTTTCTACGGGGCATTTTGAATTTTTCCCCAGTACAAACACGGGCCAGGCTTTGTAGCCAGCTCGGCCTTTCAGGCTACACTAAACTGTTCTTTTCAGTCCGAAAAAGACAAGAGTTCTTGAGTTCCACAGTGATATTTATACACCGCAAAGAGGACCACTTCAAAGCTCCCGCGCGGAACACTAGACCCAGTGGGCGCGGGCTCTCATTTTTTCTCTCTTTCTCCCTGTTCTCGCTAAACGTTCTCACTTTTTTGCCTAATCTTTCTCCGTTGGTATAATACTAACCTTTTGGAAGTTATTTTTGGGGCGAAATATTACACGTATTCCCCCCTTTAACGCGTGTTCTGGTGGTGTGCTTTATACACGGGGTCCCTGGTGTTAACTGACCGCCGGTTTTAAGAAAGAAGGGAAAAAAAGGCGGAAAAGTTGTTTTCCCGCCCAGCCTTTGTGTTTTCCTCTCCTCTAGCGCACGCCTTAATTATGCTATTCATGTCTGTCATTCCTAGTCACTTTTTTATATATATACATTTTTTTACAGCAGTTCTTATGGAACTAATTTGCATATGATAAGAGCCAGTGTCTACACACATTTCGGAGGTGACAAGCGTGGAAATTCACACCATTTTTGTTTATCCCATCGTATTCAATCATAATTATTGCATTCATTCATATATCCACATTCTCTGTTTGCTTCTAAGATGCTTAACCAACAAAGATACAACAAATTCTAAATAATTGCAAAGTTCAGAACATAACCAGACCCTAATGGCATATGACGAAGATATATATATTTTTTTACATGCATCTTTTCCTCACAATTGTTCAAATTACTTTGGACAAGATGGTAAATGGAGTGAACTG